CGCGTACAACTTCATCACTGTTCATAGACAAACGGGGGCACTGAATGTAGGAGCTTGCAATTTCTTGTCTAGATTTGATTGGTTGAGCATGCACGCAGTTCTGATTCCAGTGGAAGACGTTTGATGATCAAAGCACCTCAGGGAAACATTGGAGCGTTATTTCTGTTGTCGAATATGGCTGGTTCTAACGGTTGATTGCAAGCAATGCTTCACCTCACCTATATTTCTATTCCACGCCTGATGATGATCAATGGATTAGGCAAATCATGCACTCATGGGAACCTACCATTCCATTACCTGAACAAGCGTATGCAAACATTGCGGATCATGCAGATGTTCACGGAAAATCAATGAAATCATCACCGCGTACTGCATAAGTACACATCCAAGAAATGTGCATATACCTATAATATTACCATACACACTCGATTGTTTTCGGCAACCATCGACACCTCATCATCGTGCAGTGAGGCGACAGCACTAATCGCTGCCAGCAGTTGGTGCACAAACAACTTGAGATGGAAGGTTGTTCCAAGTACTCCACACCCAAAAACCGGCGCTGGAATATGCGTGGTTAATGGTTGTTCAAACTGAACTGAAACACCCTGATTCCAAAAGATTGATACCGACACTTCCGAATCAGTAACTTGTTAAATCAAAACGTGAGCCGCGGCCGACAAGAATGGTTTGGTTTCTGAATTTATCTTCAATTAACAATAACCCAGCATTCTGTTTTGACAAACAGTAGGCATGTATTTCCATGCGCCAGTTTTAGTTGCTGTCTTTTGGCTGCCCATCTGGATAAAAGATCAAAATGACGATTGGAATATTGAGAGCAGCATTTTTACCATTGAAATGTTTTTGAGATGGCCCCTAAAGAACATTGGGCATGCGTTTCGTTCGTGTTGAAACTCATTAACAGTGGGTATTTTCTGTATCCTTGTTTTGAATCAAATCGTGAACCGTTAAGTTGGGAACTGGAGACCCTTACCCTTGAGCTCAAAGGTCGACTCTGAAGCAGTGAATGACAAATCCGAAACATGAGTCGATATACATTGTCTAGTGTTCGTGGAATGAACTACGCTTTCAAAATGCCTCTCCCAACCGGCAGCGTGATTCGTTTGGTTTCGGCTTCACTTAGCTCCTAACATGGATATAGGCTAGAGTAACAGTTATTAGACGAACATTCGTTTTTATTCAGTATGTGAACAATTTTGACTTTATTTCTTTCATCCGACAATAGTCATGAGCCAGACAAGATTGCTGACCGGTTTGCGTGTTGCGGTGGGCTAAATCAGCCCTCCAGATAAGTATACAACCTAACATTAAAGAACATGATATCTTTGTCAGCTTGCCGATTTAACATTTTGGGTGACTCCACTAGTTAAAAAGGTAGTTACGTTTGGACAGACGATGACAGAATTGACAAGACGACGATTACAGGAGGTTGTATGCCAAACAACGGGGTCATCAGTAGCTGGTACTAGAAAAGCAATAAAGGTATCATCNCAATAAAGGTATCATCATGATCAAATAGCGAAATAAAGGAAGTGAACTTTGTTGATCGTTACCAATGTAGGCAAGTAGGAAGCAACTAAGTAAGTGAACAGCACAAAACGGAGCAAGGCAAAGAAAGTGAACTTCTACGGTCAGCACACAACCTAACTTTGCATACATACCTTTACAAGCATTCTGACCTGATAAGAAATTACAGTAAGAACACCACTACTATCGATTAGTTGCCATATCCTTTAGTGTCTCCAACCAACCAGTTGCAGTCTTTCGAACCGTAACCTGGAAGACGGGAAGCACCTGTACTACGTAATCGCTCCGTGCATTTTTTTTAAGCCTCGTTTCCACGTCAACTTTTGACCTCTACGTGGTTTCATCTGACCTGGAGCCGCAACTGCGAATAAGGCGCGGTGCGGTAGACTATGACTGGACATGCGTAATACGTGGCCTAACCGGCGAAGCCGACTAATCTGAATTCGATGGGACAACGAATTCCCCATCGAATCATTACCAACTGTGTGACGGCTTACCTCAAATTTGCTTACGCGCTTACTCCATCCAACTTGCACCAAAATACGTAAACATCGGCAGTCGAAGACGTCTAGACGACAAATATCTTCCACGCGCAAACGTAGGATCTCCCAATCATAGAACAAAATTGACCGCGCACTGGCGCAGTATAAACGACCTTTCAGTTTCAGTGAAGCACCGCGTCTGCACCAATCATGCGTAAGCTGCTCGTGCTTTGTAAATCCGGGTGGTTACTTCACTGACTATGCTACCGTCATTTGAAACGCAGCTACCTAAGTATGTGAAACAGTCCACTATAGCTAATTCTTGACCATCAAGCATCAGCGCTGGGGTAGACGATACCCAGTCTTGTAGCATCACTTTACATTTTGAAGATGCAAAGCGCATGCCGAAAGGAGTTACAGCGTTTGCTAGTCCGTCAAAAATAGTTTGCACATTCGAACAGCA